GACAGATTGCACATGGCTTCCTTTAACCCCAGAGTGGGAGCCTGAGTTGTGCAAGCACAGGCGTGTGGGGGTGGCAGCTTCCTGCAGCTTCCTATAACCGACACAAGGATGGGAGGTAACAAAATGCAGAGAGACCTTTTAGAGTAAACTGTTTTACCTGCTGCAGGCTTAAGCTGGCGCTTCATGCCTTTCCTCTTAGATACACTTGTATTTCTCCCAGTCCCTCCCTCCCCATCCATGTTCTTGAAAACTCAAAAATGTTAGGCTCACAGGTGGTGACGCCATTTGAAGGAAGGTCATCAAGCAAGAGGCACTGTGGGAACAGCTTGTCTATTTTTAAATGTCAGCTTTTGGTGTCGCTTAACAGTCGTTACCAAGGGTCAGGCTACTTATTTGGCATTTGCAGGGACGAGGAGGCAGCTCAGAGACAGAGATCATGAGGAAACGCACACCTGCACCTTCCAGGAAAGAAAGTTGGGGTTGGAATCCCTGAAATCCCTAAAGGAACTGGGATGAGAGCTAGCTTAAACTTGGCTCCATGCCGTTAGTTGTAAACTTGGCTACATCTGTCATTAATATACCCGGTTCCAAATACAGAGAGAAACCTATCTGCACTCAGCAAGTACGAGCCTAAACTGTAAGCCCTCATGGCAAACAAGGTTTTGCAGCTGACTTCAGTTTCTGGCCCTGAGGGGTTGCAGTTAGCCTTCAGGAAACTTCTCTCCTGGGCGTGAGCTGGCAGAAGACGGGGTACACAGGTTGATCTGTTTGGAGACTTCTAGAATATCAGACAAGGTACTGCTAGTGCTCAGTAAAACATAAAGCAACAGGAAAGCAACAGAAACACACTGTAAGCTAGGTGACCAGCAACTAAGGCGAAAGGGCGGATCACAAGACGTGGCATGTCTTCTAGTGAGTCCGCTGGGATGACTGATGGGTACTGTGAAGGTGCAGCTGCCACACCAACACTCTGAGGGCCAGGCTCCCTGACACACCCTGTGACACCACTACTGATGCACAGCGCCCTCCCCAGAAGCAAACAGGAGAGATGGACCCGAGACGAAGGGGCGTGCTTATCACAGCATTATTTGTAACAGCAAATAAATGGGACTGTGGATGCCTAACACAGGGAAGTGTGGTTCTGTGCTTTCCAATCTACATGATACAGCCGTTAAGAATCACGTCTCGGAGGAACATTCGGTGACAAGAAAAATAGCTACAATACAATGAGTAATCTGAAAGGTACCATGCTCAGGACAATACGATGGTATTTATTATTGATGGGTTTTCCCCTCCAGTCATATGTATGTACATGACTGGACATAACTAAAATGAAATGTTAATAGTGCTTATCTCTGAGTAATGACACACTACCATATTTTTCGTTACTTCTCTATTCTTTACCGTAATTTGCAAGCTTCAGACATACTTTTTAAAAAACACTTTTAGGACAAGATATACTGCTTTTTAAAAAGCAATTGCCAGCTCTCTTAAGAATACCCAGCTAAGCCGGCACCAATCCACTGTATAATTATTATTAATAAATGATAGTGTGTAAAACCCCTGCCCCCCAGACATGAATAATCATAGTGGAAAAAAAAATCCATACATCTTTGTCAACAGCCTCTGGGCCAGAGGCCTTATGCCTCATGATATACATTGAAATTCATCTGCCACAGTCCTGCCTGCTCAAATACAAATGCATAAAGAGGGAATTCTGTTTGTTGGGTACAAACTCCAGGCCAGGTGTTTATGTACAAGGTTTCACTGAACCCATTTATAAATGAGCAAGGTCAAGTTCAGAAAGGTAGAATAACTTGCTTTGGGCACTAGGCCATGCAGCGATCAAACTAAAAGAAAAATCCCATCCGCCTGGCTTGAAAGCCTTGTCTCTTTCAACCACCACGGGGCTGGTGGAACCTTCAGATGAGATTTGGCCTTTGTTTCAGACCTGAAAAAATATCTCCACTAACTACTTTGCTAGAGCTCCTAACGTGTGGCCAAACTCACTGATTTCTGTTTCTCTTTCTTGCAATAACTGCAGTGAGGGGTAGCCAGAGAAACTGCCAAAAAGAAAAAGGACAAAACTAGAGACAATAAAGAGAAGGAATAATTCACCTGCTGGGAAACCCCTGACAAATTCATTAACGACTGTGAAATTCAGCTCAGTAGTCTGGCCAGCGAGGGAGGTGGCCCTCAGCAGTGACCAGCGAGGACCACCAGGCTCTGTAACTTCACACAATATCTCATCCTCCCCTGGTCTGGGTGCTGCTCCTCCCTCGCACTTGGCTGGAACCCATTCTCTCAATGGTCATTTCTTTGAGTTGATTACAAAGCTGACTCTAGGAGAAGCATCGTCAAGAGCCAGAATCTCTCCTTTAGAGACAAAAGACCTCAAAGGAAGGGACAGAAGACCTCAAAGATGATGTCACTTCACTTTTTCCATTTAATAATAAAGGACTTTTAACAGTTCTCCAAGTGGGGGGGGGGGCAATGGGCTACATATTGTATTGGGCTGATGCTGAAATGCACTGAGTTCAATCGGAAGATGAACTTATAATCATTACTATGTCACACCCAGATGGCACCTCACAATTCCAAAGCTTTCCATATCCATGGTCTCATTTGCCAAGGATAGGCAGGAAATATTCCCATTTTACAGACCAGGAAATTAAGGCATGCTGCTGCTGTGTCTCACTTATTGGACTGGAAAGCAGAGGGACTGGCCCTATGTGGAATGGATATGAAATTCTGGTTGAGAATGTGGCAGCAATGTGTCCCTGGAAGACAGAGTTCTCAGGGGGGATTCTAGGGTAAGGATAGGGATTATGATATATTACGGAGGAAAGACAAACTCATCCCAAAATATTGCACACAGCCATGCCTACTCCCAGGTTCTCCTCTCAACCTCTACCTTCCTGATTCTACCCATTCAACAGAGTCAAACCCACAGCCTACAGATCCATGAAGCTCTTCCTGGTTACCCAGCACAAAGAAACAATTAACAAACCCTGCGGTTTCACAGGCCCTGTCTCCTTACTGTGTGATACGTTTTAGAGGAAGGCTTTACCTTCTTTCTACACACGAGGAAAAGGACGCTCAGAGAGGTGAGGTTGTTAGTCAGGATGACCAGATTTGGAAGTGCGGCACATTCCACTACCTTGCCTTGTATACTCCGATCCCATCCTGTATACTGCCATGTGCCCTTAGTGCCTCAACTTGATTATAAGTTCCATCAAAGAAGACAGCAAACCTTGCATTTCTCGGTATCCCACACCCTGATGTCCCCAGAACTCAGTGGAACACCAGTAAGCATCGCAAGGTAAACACCTGTTAGGTAGAATGGTAATTGTTCAGTGGGATTTTTTTTGGTAGTCTGAGTATTAGGCTGTCTGCTGTACGTAATTAAAACCAGAATGCACAGGAAATATTAATTTCTCCTAGCTCTAGCTTAATCAGGCATTCATTACCATGCCCAATTCCGGGTTATGTGAAAAGAAAAGCTTAGTAAGCATTTTGTGTGATGAGGACCATCAAATGCACACAGATATCAGAGAGATGCATGAAAAGACAAAAGCACAATCATCAAACCGACACAGACAGACAATGATCCGCAATGACCCGAGTCTAAAGAACTTGCAAGGCAAAAGGAATACTTGTCTCCCTCTGGCAACTGGATATTCACGAACACTAAGAGAGGAAGTCACGGTGCCAGCCAGGAGCTTGGCCGTGACACATGGCGCTCTGCCGAGAAGAGGGATGCATCCTGCTACCGTCCTGGGTCAGAATCAGAAGCAACGCAACGCTGCCGAGGGCTGTTCTGGGAGAAGGGGGCTGCTCCGGGACGTCTCAGCACGCCCCATCGTCACTGGCCGGCAAATTTCTTAAATGTACCCAAAATATACAGCGGATGACCCTTTACCAAGTCTCAGTCCATTTGCCCTCCCAACAAATTGTTACTCTGTATCTTTGGACATTCCAAAGGTTCAATTCACTGGCCTGAGAATTTTTCATGGTGAGGATTAGCTCAAGAACCTTTCAATTGACATTTGGTAAACCAAGCTAACAATAGCGGTGTTAGTAAAATGGGGCGATCTTATCTGTGGCGCAGTCTATGTCCCAGACACCATCCTCGGCTCTGCCTCCCACCCATCCACCATCCCGCCACTGCTAGAAGCCAGGTGACCAAATGGCCCAACCACAGGTGTCAGCCCTCCCATAACGGGATTTGCTGCTCCTATTTCCCTGCTCCCTGCAAAGGTATAATAGGACCTGCTTCCTGCACATGGGGTCTCTCTCTCGATAAGGTATAATAGGACCTGCTTCCTGCACATGTGGTCTCTCTCTCCATAGGTATAATAGGACTTGCTTTCTGCACATGTGGTCTCTCTCTCTTGATCTCTCTGGACCCCTCTTTCTCTCTTCTTCACCCCTTCCCTCCTGCCTGTTGGATCTCCCCCATCAGTAAACCCTTACCCTTAACACTGGTGCTTGGTGTGTTTTGTGGCATCCTTACAAGCAATGCCTATCTACCACCTTTTATTGCCAAACTCTATAATAAACTGCCAAGAGGCAGGACTTCTGATTTAAAAAAAAATTAAAAGTTTTATTTTGATTTATATGACAGGCACAGTGACAAACAGGGAGAGACAGAGATCTTCCATCTGCTTGTTCACTCCCTAAATGCCTACAACAGACTGGGCTGGGCTAGGAGTCTACAACTCCATCCAGATCTCCCACATGGGTGGCAGAGACCCAAGTTTTTAGCCATCATCTGCTGCCTCCCAAAGTGCATATTAGCAGAGAGCTGCATCGAAACGGAATGAGGGATTCGAACCCTGGTCCTCTGGTACAGGGTGCAGGTGTCCCAAGTGGCACCTTAGCCCCTGAGTCAAATGCCTACCCCCTGGTTTCTTTTATGTTACAAAAGAGGTGCTACACTCTCCTGTGTTCAACCAACATCAAACAAAAGGAACAAACACCAGGCGTGTGGTACCTACATTTGCGTCCTCATGACTGTGGCCATTGGTCTCCACCAATTCCTTTGTGCCTTTTAACTGCAAATTTTAAGGAAAAACAAAAGAATCAGCGAGTATATCTGTTAAGTGTATATCATCTGGTTAACTCTGGCTTCTCTGAGATTGCATTCTATAAAACGTCCAATGATGGGAAAACAGATAGAGCACGTTGATTCTGATAAGCCTTATCGGAGCCAGCTTGAGACCGATATTTTATGGAACTTGATGGCTGACAAAAAATAAAAGGGGTTTGGCCATTATTTTTTAAACAATAAGATTGGAAAGCAGTTCCATGGACATAAAATATATAAAATTGGTTTTTAAGAATAACACATGATTCCATTGCTTTACTCTTAATTTAAACCCCGCAGTGTTTGCAAGTTGCCACCGGCTAGATGATGTCACAGGGGATGAAGGTTCGTGAAGGATGGTGCCGCATTGCTGATGTCCGTGCCCCTGCTCAGGACACATCTGCACGGTTGACGTTGTCTCAGGAGCCCTCGGGGCAGAAGGTGCCTGGCTTCCTAGGAAGGACTGGGAAGGCATCCCCTGGGTGGCTGGAGCCTCAGAAGAACAACACTTCTCAGATGAGACTGTGAGCAGGGAACATTTAAAGGCGCTTCTCTCTCTAGGAAGGCGTGGGAGTGATCAGTCTGCACGAGACTTTAGGAAACTTCCCACTGGCATTTTGTCCTGTCGTGACTCAAAGCAGACATTTGGAGGCAGAGAGTAAGGGGGGAAGGGTGAAGTGGACTTGGGCTGCTTGCCAGAATTTCTTCCTGGCTTATTGTGCGTAGGAAGCTGCAGCTCCTCTATCATCTTTTTCTGGCTTAGGATAAAGCATTCATGGTGGGAAACAGATACTTAAAATTTCAAAGCAACTGCATGTATGCCTTCAATGTCTTTCATTTAGAACATTGGCTCTTTCTAATTTTAAATTTAAAAAAAAATTTAAAAATCTAAATTAAAATTTAAATATTTTAAATTAAATATTAAAATTGCAAGGTGCATTAGGTTTTTCAAGGCGATCTTGAACTCAGTAGGAAAGTCAGAGCCTCTCCATGCCAAGGTAGGGGTTTTGTCAAAGCAACGGTGATAGGAAGAATGTAAGCATGGGACAGCTGGTATAATCTCCCTCTCTCTCTTGATCTATCTGGACCTCTGGTTCAAGATCAGACACTCATTTCCATGTCACTTCCATTGATGGAAAAGAAAAACCTGCCCACTGTTCATTAGGGCTACATCCCCGATACTTCTACATGTAACATGCAAAGGGGCGTGGGCAGCACATGATGCACAGGACTGGGAAAAGGTGCTCTGCAGACATGGCAACACCATCGATTATCAGGACCTAAACGTAGCGCAGCATCTGGGAAGAAACCAGCTCAGGGTTCTGCCCGCAGGTGGCCCTTGTCTTGTCCTCTTCTTCAACCTCCTCTGCTCATCCCACCTGAGGTCCTGTCCCGTGTGCTGCCATGAGTCACGGCGGGGTCCTTCCAGAGGCTTCTGTGCTTTCTGGGCAGAAGTTCAGGGCCACCACGTGTTACGGTACCTTCCTCCTCGGCCTGTTCACCAGCGTCCGCGTGCCCACTGTTCTTCCTGTGAATGAACTTTTGCTCCCTATCATTCTCCAGCTCTGTGCCTTCTTGCACTCTCCTCCCATTGCACTTCCTGTCCTTGGGCGCGGTGCCCTCTGCAGTCCTCTCTGCCAGGGGCACGTGGCGGTCGCTCTCCCCCAGCAGAGCCCCGCTGGCAGCAGCTGCCCCACTGCTCTGCTCTGCTCCCTCCTCCAGCTGCTCCTCCCTCCCAGGTCGGGCGGAACATCTTGTTGGATGACACTCGGGCTTGTGAACAAGCCCCAGTAGCAGGAAGCTCCCGTCCTTGTCAAGGAGATGAGAGGCAGAAGTCAGTGGGGCCTGGAGGTACCTGGAGCAGGGCAGGCTATGGAGTTTGGGAATGAGGCCGCCTTCCCTGGGGGGAGTGGGAAGGATCTGCCTTCAAGACCAGTCCTTTCGTGTGAGGGTTTCCAGCAAGTGGCAGCTGCTTTGAATAGCATAATCTCAAGTCTGCAGACGAGGGTGTGTATATCCTGGGCTGTGTGTGTGTGCATGTCTGGTGGCTGTCATTTCCGTCACATCCATGCATGCACAGGACAAGTGTTTACACACGTAGTTACTCTCCATGGGTCCAAAGCCAGCTATTATAAGTGAGGCTGTGCAGTGGGGCTAGGGCCTGGGGGCCCCTCAGACATAGGTAGAATGTTCCTCACAAGCAGGCTGCCAGCATGGCTGGAAAGCTTGTCTCCAGACTAACCGGTCTTGTGCTGCATGTGTGACCTTGGGCTTTAAATCACATCTTCAGGGTGGGTGCACTCTCACCCAGAGCTAGCAGAGGAGGGGGCTGAGCCCCTAAGAGGGGGACAGGCCATCTCTAAGAGACCTCTGCTATCTTCACAGCCCGAAGCTAATCAACATACATATGTGAAACCCCCATCTAATGGGCACCCCCAATAGGATAGCCCAATGAACAGAGAGTAATGCCTTGATAATCCGAGACACTATCTCAAAGCCAGTGTCCCGCCTGGTCTCCTCTCGGACCAGATGCTTCCTCTGTCATTTGACAACCAAATAAAAGTCTCTTTTCTGTCTAATAAAAGTTTCTGCCTCTTTGCAAATTGCTTCCAGGCTTTTTAGTTCTATAGTAGGCTGGAGACAAGAACCCAAGAGACTCTCTCCTGTAACCACCCTCCTCTCTGGGCCCAGTAACAGTGAGGCAATGCTCTTGCAGGTGAGGGAGTGTACAGCTGCATGTGGGGGTGGCTGCGGGGAGATAGGGGACCATACGCATTGCACATCGCCTGGGCAGAGACCAGCAGGGTTCTCGGACATGGCTGGTGGTGCCAGAAGCATCCAAATGTCTTTGGCCGCCATGTATCCCGGGCTTGGTGGTGCCTTTGCTTGGAAAAGCCATCCGCCAACGAAGTTAACACTGAAGACTGAAAAGTGCTGCCTTCTGAGAGGTGTATTCTGGGTCCTTCAGGACTGTGGTTTCTCTGAATTCTCTTCAGTTTTCTTTAAATTATTTAGAATGCAGTGCGATGCTCCACCCACTCCGGGGGTGGGGATATGTGTATGCTTTGCTCTTTACATGGGCACAGCACGACGAGAAGATGCCAGGACTTTCTGCAGAATTTGAATCCATTTTTGTGACTGTATTTTGGACTTTACATCAAAATCAAGGAAGTGAGTCATCTAGAGTAGACGGAAATTCACTCCTCTGCACCCCAGCTAAAGTTACAAAAAGGAACAGAGGAGGGGACAGACGTGGACCCCATCTGCCCACAGGGCTGGGGGTCCCTCGGCAAAGCTGCGGTGGGCACAACGGTGACTTCAGGTCTGCTGGCCGGCACGTCGGGGCAGCGGCTCTCCATTCCATCTGGCTTATCTGAAGCCCTACGGATGCAGCCTCAGTGTCTGTTACCGAATCTGCGTTAGTCAGATAATTACTCGTTTTATAGAGCATTTTTCTCTAAATATTTCTGACTCCTTCATTTTTTTCCTTTTGACTTTTAGGGGATAATAACTAAAAAAATTATATTAATAGCTAAAATAACTAAAAAGATGGTTTTTCTTGATCCTGAACCATTTTTCTAAACCACTTGTAAAGTGATTGCGTTGCAGGTCATTCTCTCCCTGCTTTGTATTTCCTACGATATCGCCTTTGAGGTTATTTATATTGTATAAACAACCAGCTCATAAACCACAGTGCACCCATGAAAAATGGAAAACAGCCTACGTTTTGATTTCCCGCAGAGGTACTATACTCTATATGAGTTACCATGATGTGATTTTTTTTCCCCTCTTCTAATTACCATTTGCTACATTGTTGGCACAGGAGAAGGCTAGAAATAGGAGAGGTTGCTAGAGCTCTCGCTGCTCCTTGGGAGCAAATGGAGGGCTTGGATTTCACTCCGCTGCCTGCCCAGAGATCCCTCTCACCCTCCTCTAAGACAATACTTTCTGATCCACTTATCAATGTCAGGCCACGCTTTAGTATCAAAGGCAGCCGGAATGAACCGAGCAGATTTACAAAAAGTCGTATGAACGACCTGGTGCTCACTGTGCTTCCACAAGTGGCCCGATGCGCTCGGCAGATATTTTCTGAACGCTGCTGGGAATCAGCCCTCCTTATTTGCGTGTCTGCGGGCGTGCAGTGGGTTGTGCTCAACTCATTTTCCTCCCTGGGAGATGAAAGAGGAAACGAGCTGCTTCCGTTGTGATGCATCCGAATTGCTGGTACTTTAAAACTTTATCCAAATTCATTTGTCTTCTGGTGGGAACTTGCATACCACACAGGCAGGCTTGGGGGCAGTCTACATGGGGCCTGGGTAGGGAAAGAGATGCAAGGAGTGACCCCAAACATTTGCACTTGGCACCGCTGCCAGGAGGCTTGAGAGGGCGGGGGCTGGCGTCGGTGATGCTTGCCCGGGTGACACGCTAGGCGGTGTGCACTGGGGAGGTGTGAGTCGATTCCTAAATCAGAGCGGTTTCATTCACTTACTTGTTCCTGGAGCACTTTTAGCAACGCTTGTGTGTGGGATTGTTCTTCCTTTGCCTGCTCCAGTTCTGATTTTTTGTTGTTTAACTCCTCCTGGATGGTGAGCAGTTGCTGTGAAAGGAAAGGATGGTCAGTGCCATGTAGGACTGGAGGCCAGGGCATTCTGGGATATTCAAAACACACATTCCCAATTAGTAGGAGAGTGTTTTAACATAGTTTACAGGTTAATCCAGGTATCGGCTGAGCTGGCTTTGTGTGCATTTTCTCCACCAAGCATCATCAGAATTATGGGATTTTTTTGAAACATTTTTTTTTTTAAATTTACTGTTTATTTGAAAGTCACACACACACACACACACACACGGCAGGACGGCAGGGGCTCAAACACTTGGGCCATCTTCTGCTGCTGTATCCTCTGCTGCTTTTCCTAGGAGCATTAGCAGGGAGCTGGATCAGAAATGGAGCAGCCAGGACACAAACTGGTGCTCACATGGGATGCTGGTGTCACAGGTGTTGCAGGCATAAAAACTGCAGATTTTTGCCACACTAATAGGCTATGATTTAAAAAGAAAAAAACTTTTTTAAAAAAAACTTTATTGTTTATATTATTTGAAAGGCAGAGAAAGAGAGAATGAGAGAGAGAGGGAAAGAGATCTTCCATCTGCTGGTTCACTCTCCAAATATCTATCTTTGTCAGTCAGGGCTGCAGCAGGCTTAAAGTAGGAGTCAGGGCTGCATCCAGGACTCCCACATGAGTGGCAGGGGCCAAGTACCTAAGCCATCATCTGCTACCTCCCAGGGTGCATAAGTAGCAGGAAGCTGGATCAGAAGCAGAGGTGGGACTGAAACCCACGCACTGCAGTATGGGATGCAGGCGTCCCAAGCAGCAGTTTTTTTTTTTTTTTTTTGAAAGAGTTAGACAGTGAGAGAGTGACAAAGAGAAAGGTCTTCCTTCCATTGGTTCACCTCCCAAATGGCCACTATGGCCGGAGCTACTTCAATCTGAAGCCAGGAGCCAGGTGCCTCCTCCTGGTCTCCCATGCGGGTGCAAGACCCAAGCACTTGGGCTATCCTCCACTGCTCTCCCCCCCCCCCCCCCAGCCCCCAGCCACAGCAGAGAGTTGGACTGGAAGAGGAGCAGCCGGGACTAGGACCCAGTGCCCATATGGGATGCTGGCGCCGCAGGTGGAGGATTAGCCAAGTGAGCCACAACACCGGCCCCCAAGCAGCAGTTTAACCTGCTATGTCCCATGCCCTCCCTGTTTGTGATAGTAATGTGCGATGCTTGTTTTAAGTATTTGTGAGGCTGCCCTTAATTTCTACAAACAAATGTGCATGCATATTTATAAAAAATATGCAGCATGGTATTAACAGAAAACATACAAACCGGATGAAGAAATTAAGTAATAATTAAAAATAAACCTAATTAGACAAGCGGTCCAATTTCAGTCCATTTTACACAGTACAGTAAAGTGAGCTTCATGGTGGCTCTGCAAAGCTACTTCCCCAAGTGGCTGGCACCACAAAAGATCCTTTTACTTTCTCTGTTATGACGGGGATGTTTTATTAGATCAGCAGGACTGAGGTCCAAACTGCAATCAATATATCAGCCTAGAAAACTGCTGATATAAGCTGTCAAAACACTAAGCTATGGCCTGCACTGCTATTTTTAAACAGGGCCACTGAAGGGATTTTTGTAAGCCTTGAGCTTTCCTTGCCCTACCAACTGTAAGTCAGGCGGCTGCTTAGCTTGTCTGCTAGGCGCATGGCACTGGCTGGCACTAATTCTTTGGGACATGGTTATATGTTAATATATACATGGGCTGTAGAAAAACACTCCAGGGCTTCCAAACAGACCTTGGCAACAGCAATGTCGATGCAAAGCTTCTCTACAGCAAAGGACTAGTTTGAAAAAGACAGAGCAGCCTAACCAGAGCTGCCATAATGCTCTGAGCTGCTTGTGTGTTCCTGCCACAAAGTGACCTGCTACCAACGTCTAGGCTGCCTCTTCACAGCCTCTGCAAGCTGGCTGCAGGCTGGCCTGGCCAGCTGCTCACTGAAAGGGCCCCAAGAAACACTGGGTTTCTCATGCTTAAACCTACCAACTGGAAGGATTAAGTTAAAACCTCAAAAAGACTGGTTTTTTTGGGGGGGAGGGAGAGGGTTTGGGCACTAGGAAGTACTCAGAAAAACACACTGTGCTCCCCTTTGGGCTGGCTTGTGCTTTGCGGGGGGGGTGGGGGGGTGGGGTGGGGTGGCGTCTGGCCACATCAGAGTGCCTTGGTTCAAGTCCTGGCTCTGATCCTGAGAGCAGTTTCCTGCTAAAGTGCACTGTGGGAGGCAGCAGGTGATGGTTCAAGTACTTGGGTTCCTGCCACCCACACAGGAGATACAGATTGAGCTTCACGCTCCTGGCTTTCGCCTGGCCCAGCTCTGGCTGCTGTGTGGGCATCTGGAGAGTGAATCAGTGAGTGGGAGATCTCTCTCTGTTTTTCTGCTTTTTAGACAAACAATAATTTAAAGAAAAACTGCTTTGCCTTCCTAGCATAAACAGTGATTTGCTAACAGTTTTCTAAACTCAGTGGCCCCCATATCGTTACCCGCTCATAGCATCATCACGTACGAGGTAACTGCACATCCCACGGTCCACCTCAACAGTTGATGTGACTTAACTGTCCATCATCTAATCAAAGGGCAGCTACCAGAGGGCCTGCCTTATCCTCTGGCTCAGTGACAAGAACCTGAAGCAGTTGGGGATGACCTGGCTCCTTCAGTCCCGAGGGGCACTGGTGTTGGCTTGGGATGATGAGTGCATCTGTCCTTCATCAGACCGTTCTCAACTGCAATCATCAAACCTTTCTAAAGTGAGTCAGGGGAAGCACGGGAAAGTGTCTTCAGAGGTAGGCAGAGCTTATTTTGCTCACTGCAGTGGTTGAAGCAGCAGCATTTAGAAACAAGGGATGTCAGGAGAAGGGGAGAGGATGCATTCGTGACGCATGGATGCACGAGTCTAGCAGAGCACGGTACGGCCACTAAAAAGGAGGAGGGTGCCCAGGTGTCTCTGAACACGTGTAGAGGAAGCTCACAAGGCACTTCAGGAAAAAAAAAGCATCAATAAGGTCTCACTTAATTTTTAAACAGTCATAGAGAAGGAGCTGGATGCCATGTCAGCCTAAGAGGGTTTATGAATCTTGGTTTCACTCATCCATTTTCTGGTGTATTTGTAAGGAGCATACACTGCTCTGGAAATGAGGGAAAAAATTAAACCAACTCAAGATCAGAGGAGCATGACAAAGCAAGCAATAACACTTGTACAAGACTATCTCAGCTGTTATTACCAACACTGGGAACAAACGAGAGAGAGAAGTCCACTGGAGTCTCCCATTCCATCCACACGTGTACAACATGTACGACTCTCCGTTCCATTAATATACACGTGCACGCGTGTGCACACACACACACACACACCCTTCTGTTGACTCCGTTTCCCATTTAAGCTTCTATCCTATCTGATTTGATTCTTCTTTGGAAATACACTTTTTAAATAAAATATCTTTCTGTCATCCCCACTCCCTGTCTTCTCACACGTAGGCAATCATTTTCATGGTTTAGTATCTAGCTTTTCATCTGAGTGTGCTTTCCTGAAATGTATATATTGCTATCCTTTTGTGTGTATTTTTATGGATATAATACTGTCCTATTTCCTGTTGTTTACTATACTTTATTTTTAAAGGTTGACTTATTTATCAGTCAGAGTTACACAGAGAGAGGGTGGTACAAAGAGAGATACAGAGGGAGAAAGATAGGTCTTCCAGGCACTGGTTCACTCCCCAGATGGCTGCAATGGCTGGGGCGTGGCCAGGCCAAAGTAAGAGCCAGGAGCTTCTTCCAGGTCTTCCACATGGGTGGTAGAGGCTCAAGTATACTTGAGGCATTTTCTGTTGATTTTCCCAGGCCATAAATAGGGAGCAGAATCAGAAGTGGAGCAGCCAGTTCACAAACCAGTATCCATAGGGATTGCTGGCATGCTGGCATAGCAAGTGGCAGCTTTACCCACAACAACACAATTTACTGTATTTTTAATAAAATTACAGTTTACTGTAATTTTAATAAAATTATGTTCTAAGATCCATCCATGTTAGCATTTTGTTTAGTTGGCGGAAGACCAGTTACCTGAGACTATATAGTAGTAAGACCCAGACATTGATAATTTTTATAAAACACCTTCACAGTCCATTCTAATGTGAAAGTAGGGATGTAAATCAGCCTCCTTCAATACTTTAACATCCTCAGTCTACTACACTGTGACTTCAACCCCTAGTACTCCACCCAAACTCTTTCACTACCATGGGTGGGAACATTTTTTTCTGCCAAGGGCTATTTGGGTGCTTACAATATCACTCACAGCCCATACAAAATGATCAACTGAAAAATGAGCCTGCTATACATTTATTGAATTTCGAGTTTCAGTCTGACAGGGCCAGACCGAATGATCTCACCGGCCTTATATGGCCCACAGGCCGGATGTTCCCCACCCCTCTCCACCAGAACCATCAGCGCTTTGCTAAATGCCACCTGGTGTGCCAGGTTCCTTGCTGCTGGCTACAGGTTCTCTGCAGGTGTGCCCATCCATGCCCAATCCTTCACATGTGCTGGTGCTGTACAAAGCTGACATTGCAGCTTTCTTACCACCCCTGAGACTCCTAGTGGGCTGTGTGTTATACGGTCACGGTCACTATTAACATACTCTGCACCCACGCCTCTCCTTACCCCACCCCCCCAACCCAAAGCTCGCCCTCTGGTATCCAGAGTTGAAACCTTGAAGTCGACCCTGGCTCTGTCCTCACCCTCCAACGCCTGCAACCCCTCTGCCTGCTCCTCCAGCTTTTCTCCATCTCATCCTTGCTGTCACGGTTCGGGCTGCAACTCCTATCTTCTAGATTTTGCATATTCCCACACCCCTCCCCTCTACACTCCTGAGAGTGTTGACAACCTCAGCTTGAGAGGGTTCTCATCCATTACAGAATACTGCTAGTCCCCTAACTCCTGTAAATAAAGCCAAACCGCCGAACTTCTCACCCTTCCCCAGTCACACCAGGTCCTTTGTCATG